ACGTCTGTGACAGCACCACATACACACGCAGGCCATCTCTGTGAGGAGGATTAACTGGAAACCACAGGGAATGAGTTGGCCTCCAGTGCCGTGAGACTCCTGTTAAACCTCAGGTCAGTGAGGATGGAGAATGGCTTTGGTGGGAACTCTGACCCTGCTGGACTCAGCCTAAACTAAGTGAACATGTAAGAAAGTTCAAGGGCAGATCAGGGGCTACTTGTTTTCTTAGTTTCTGAGTATCAGAAGCCACAGACTGAGGGTCCAAGACATGAACATTCCAAAGAAGCCCTGCAAAAGTTCCCAATCCTTAGGTTTAAACACAGGCGGAGAGATCCCAGAATGCATGCATGTGTTCCTGCTAGTGACCAAAGCAAGTTCCTTGCAGGGCCACTTGGCTCAATAGAGTTTAAGATGGAGTCCTGCATCTTCTGAGGTACAGGCCCTGACTTAGGCCAGTCCTCTCCTTAAAAACAACACACGAGAGCTGGGGATTTAGCTCAGTGGTGCTGTGCCTTCCTTACAAGTGCAAGGTCCTAAGTTTGGTCGCTGGTACCAAAGACAAAAACAAAAACAACACACACAAGCTGGGACCTGTGCAGCATTCTTACCCCTAACTATTCATCTGAGGCTCACAGAGGTCTGGCCTCAGGCCCTCCCTGCCTTTAGCTCCTGCAGCTGTCCAGCAGAAGAAGTGCTGTCCTTCACTTGCCTGTGCCTGGCCAAGGCTTGGGCTGGAGTAGGCCGCCCTTGTCTTCCAGAACTACAATGAGGCACAAAACAAAATAAAACTCAGCAGCTGTGTCACCTTTTCTCCAAACCTCAGAACCTGAATGCTGGTCCTGACAGCCTTTGGTTCCATGTGAGGGCTTCTCCTTCAAGAACGGACACATCACAAACATGAATGCAATACTGCAATGGTGTTCTAGCTCCTGTTCAAAGCTGATCCAGTGCTTTTAAGTTTGAATTAGATGGTTCCAGTAAGAAAAAAGCTTCCCAGGTATTCTAGGACCAGAAATCACCTAAGCCTTGGTCTTGCCTTAGGCTGAAAGGCTCTGAGGCTAATCCTTGAGGTCTGGAGATATAGACGCCTTCGACAAATAGAGAATAACTATGTGATAGCTTCATATTGGACCTTGTCTCTGGAAGAGATGGAGCCCTCTGAGACTGAGACTGACAAAGTCTGAGCCTCCAGATGGTGACAGGAGCCTATCACCAAGTGAGACTGATGGCAGATTCCGGCCAGCTCAACACAGCCAAGGGGCTGGTGGGCCTTGCCAGAAGACCCCAGGTTCCATGCCCAGCAAAGACTACCTTATTCAGGGCCCAGCCAGGTACAATAAGCCTCAGTGGAATAGAAGGCAGCAGAAAGGAGTGGCCATTGTGCACATTTAACCTCAAAGATGGTGGCTGTCAAGCAGGACTGTGGCCACTGGAAAGTGATGTTGGCCCAGCCTTAGAGATGGTACATTAAACTAAGAAAAGGAGCTAGATATGGTGTCACAGACCTGCAATCCCAGCACTAAGAGGGGCTGAGGCAGGAGGATTCTAAATTTGTGTCCCGCCAGAGCAATTTAGTGAGATCTTGTCTCAAAAACAAAAACAAAACCAAAACAAAACAAAACAAAAAAAACAAAAAGAGGAAATAAAGGGAGGATGAGGGAGGCATTATATCCCGAGCCCAAGAACCTAACACAAGCTTCTTTGGAAACAGAATAAACTCTCCCCTGGATTAGAACTGTTTTGGCAAAAATTTGCTTACAGGAAGGAGCTGCACTAGAACAGTGGTTTTCAAACTTGTGTGGAATACTACAGGTCTTCAAAAGGCATTCAGAAGCCTCTAAATACCTGATTTACAAATACGTTGGTTTGGCGGGGGGTACTGGGGATCAAACTCAGGACCTTGAGTTTATGAGGCAGATGGCGGAACCACTGAGCTAAATCCCTGGCCCAATACTTTTATCTCTTTTAAAAACCTAAGACATGTCACACTCAAGTGCTTTATGTGCCAACTTCTAAACTACCAAAGGCCATCAACACTTGTGTGCTGCCAATAAGCCTAATCCCCCACCTAGATAAACCTGCTTTTATGTGGCCCTGGGGACCAAGTTTCTTCTGCTTTCTGTGTACTATATTTGAACTCTGTAAAATGTGTGAGGACAAGGGAAGTGAAATAATTGATTCATATAAATCCTGGCCTGCAGGCAGACTGGCACTGTAGAGGGGGCCAGTGAGGAGAGCTGTGCTTGTCATCGTGGTCTGTAAGGCAGACAACACCTTACATCACCACACACAGTGCAGCTGGAGTTTTTGCTTTGTTCTCCTTGGGAGCTTCTTATCTGAGATCGCTTCCTTTATACGGAATGTGAACATCTAGTATATTTGTTAGTGATTCAGCTGTGGAAAAAATAAATGCTACTCTTCTATTTTTAAGCTTCCAGCATCTATACCATTTAAATTGCAGATCTAGCTAGATTTTTCAGATGGGTTGTTAAGAATGAACTGCTATCATTTTATGGCAACTACCTGTGTGTATCAGTGTGCTCTCAGCCAGTGCCCCAGGAATGAACTGGATGCTGACCCTAACATCAATGCTTTCCACCATGACCTGCATTTTAAAGTTTGTGTGTGTATTTTAAATTTTAGAGTCATTCTTTTTTATTTTAAACTTGAACTTAAAATCTTGTGAAAAGGACTCTGGTTCTAAAAGGAAGTTTGAAAACCACTGACTTATTAAGGTTGTACATCTTTATGAAAATATAATAGCCTCAACAACTAAAAAGAAGAATTTTGGTGAAAATCCTCTGTCAATCTTGTTTCTTTGGGTGCTGGGGATGGAACCCAGGGTCTTGCATATGCTGGGCCAAATGCTCTGGTCCAGAGCTACACACACGGCCCTCCTCTGTCAATCTTTAATAGTGTTACTCCCAACCTGCTAGTAGCAACAGAAATAACACGCTTCTTGCAGAAGTGCTGAAGTACTGTTGTAGACTCGTCTCATGATAGCAGATAAGCATTCAAGTGCTTTACAGAAGCCATGAACCCCAGTGGCAACCACTGAACCTCAGAATGTTTTTTTGGGGGTAGTCTTCCTCTTCTGGGAGACTCTAACTCAACAGGATACACAGACCTGTGGAGCTGTTCTGACTGTGGGGTACAAGATCCATCTTGGCTGAAGTAATTTGTGCAGAAGGGTTAAGAAGCAAGATGGTGAGTTCAGGCTCCCTCCTGGCATCCTCTGCAAAGAGAAAAGTAGGGCCGGGGATCTAGATCAGTGGTTCTGCTGCCTGCCTCGCAGTGACCGAAGTTCGATCCCCAGTACCAAAAAAAAAAAAAAAAAAAAAAAAAAAAAAAAAAAAAAGAAGAAGAGAAAGAGAAGAGCAGCCCATGGTCCACTGCATCTGGGCACAGGGTGTCCTGGAGGGCGAACTCCCCTTGGGGTCAGGTGGAGCATGCAGAGCAGGGAAAGGAAGCCTACAGGCTGGTGGTGGACATCACAAGTTCTCTGGGAAGCTGGAGTCCTCTGAGCTGAACCCGGGTCTCTGCTGCTTGGCATGGGAGCCAGTGCTTGTCTTGCAGTAACATATCCCAGTCTTCCTGGCTTGCTAGATGCTAAGCAGTTCAATGTTTTGCATTTCCTTTGAGGGCCTGGGCTTCCAAGTGTTAAGCGCAACGTCACAAAATGAAGAACATTCACACCCTCATCCTGCTCCTCAGCCCTTCTCTTCACCTGAAGGTCATCAATGAGCCAACCAAGAAGCTGCAATGTCTGGGTCTCAAAGGCCCTGGGAAAGAAGACCTACTTCTATGCCTGACCCCACTTATTATACAAACATCCATCCTACAAGTCCAGATGATTCCATCTCAGTTCCAGGCATGCACAACGCCCACCCATCAATCAGTATGGCAGCAAGAGCACACAGCTCCACTGGCCCTGCTCCTGGCCATCCTGTGCTCGATCTTCTCCAGTTCCACACAGAGCTCGTCTGCCAGCAGATGTAGTACCCATTCCCCTCCGCCATGTCAGGAGGACACGCTAAGAGGCCTCTGCCTTCTTCAGCCCAGCATTTCAATCTGAATGTTGAGCTGTAGGCCTCATGCTCCGTACAGAGATGGAGGTTCCCCATCCAGGGACTGGGCAAGGCTCTGTATACTTCAGAAAGCAGGTATCAATCTCTTGAGAATGCCTGAAGTTGGGGTTGGCCCATGGCTGATGGTTTGGAACCAGCAAGGCTCCCTGGGCTGTGGCCCGAGATGACTCAGTGCTTCCTTCCTTGCTCTGAGATGATTTGCGCTAAGCCCAAACACATGGGTCCCCAGTAACAGCGGGCACAACAGCACTGCAACGGTAGTCACCAAACATCCAACCCTCATGGCTGCTTCCCCTGTCTGCTCTGTGCTGGCTCATCACAGTCCTCCTGGCCTTTCCGACCATGCCCCGAGTGACTGGCCATTAGTGGCCACTGATCTTGGGCTCTCCCTGGAAAGCTGTGCACACTAAGGGCGGACACAGGCCCCACCTGCAGGACACAGGGTGTGGGTGACTTGGGCAAGAGGACCCAGGAACCAAGGGTAGGAGGAGTACGTGGGAAGCAGGCTGGGGACCTGCTCACCACAGTTCTGTGATGGTTCCTTGTGGTACAATCTCTCTCATTCCAAGCATTTTCTCACGGAGAAAATGATGTGTGGGGAAGGAGGAGGAGGAAAAAGAGGAGGAGGAGGAGGAGGAGTTGCGGGGGAGCCCAGAGCTTGCTAGCCACACCTGACAGGGCCTCTGATTTCATTCTATGGGGAATGGAAAGCTGTAAAATGGGTTGCCCCAAATACAGGTGCCCCCCCCGTTGCTTAACAGGAAACTCCAGATCTCAGTAATGCAGGGACCCATGAAACTCTGCTGGAAAAGGAGCTGGTTTTGGATGTGGTGATGCAGAACTGGCCTACTCTAGTGGATAGGGCGGGCTCTCCTTAAGAACAAACCTTCTCACAAAGAACCCAGACAGTACCTGCTTCTCCCCGGAGTGCCTTCTCTACTGCAACTCCTCTCTCCTCCAGCTGCCTCTGCTTTTCTTCAACCTGCTCCAGCTGCCGTTGGATGATCTATGGAGAAAGAATGGTGTAAGCACCCAGCTTTCTTTCTCTCTCTCTCTCTTTTTTTTTGGTACCGGGGATTGAGCTTGGGTCCTTGTGCTTGCAAGGCAGGCCACCGAACCGTTGAGCTAAATCCCCGGCCCCCGAGCTTTCTCTCTTATCTTGAGCTCTCAGGAGGAAAATTAAATCACACAGCATAAAATCAGAGGGAGAAAGACAAACTGTATGAAGACATCACCAAAGACTCTGGTGCATGGCATGCTGCTGCTTGGCGTGTAGACTGCAGATCACCTGCACTGGGCCCTGGAGCAGACTCTAGGCCACTGTTGTTAGCAGCTGGGATGTGGATGTGGGGTAAGCAGGGCCAGCCCCTCCCTGGAACAGCTCCAAGGCAGGTGGATGTAAGGTTCCACAGGAAAGCATTATCACCTGAGAACTTCCTAGAACAAGATCGCTAAACCCCTGAGAAAGTTCTTCTAATTCCATCTGTGCAAGTCAAAGAGGACGTCTAGAGTTGTGTAGGATGTGAGGCGGGAAGACAGAGGCTGATGACCGCAGATAGAGCCGATCTCTCCCCACATAGTGCAGGGCCCCCAGGGGCCAGCAGGCCAAGAACCGACTCTGGACACTGCTGCTTACCAGGGGACTAAAAGTGGCTTCCCAATGACTAATCCAGACCTAGGATTAGGGAACTCCTGAAGGCAGCATGGGCCCTCTGTAGCTGCATCTGGCAGGGATTCTGGGTGACAGGGAAGTCCCTCGTGCCTCTGCTTGGCTTCTTTACCTTCCCTCGTCATGGACGAGGCCACCCGGTGCACAGGAAGGTGCAGCCCCTTGACTTTCCTCCCAGCGTCGTGCCCTACCACCCGTGACCATACCTGGGCTCGGTGCAGCCGCTTGAGCTCCTCCTGCTTGGCCTGTCTCCGAGCCGCCTTTTGCACACGCCGGGTCAGCTTGGCATTCAGCTCCTCCTCTGTGTAGGTTCTTGGCTGGAGAGAACAAGACAGATCTCCTTAGCCAGGCACACGAAGGCTGGAGCTCCATCTGGGAGGCAGGCTGGCAGGGGCACGGAGAGGACTGTCCTGAGTGGGAGCTGGTGCCCGGCAGCAGCTGGACAGAGTGAGTGCAGAGTCCCTGGCTGCAGGCTGGCCTGAGACTTCACAGATACTTGTTCCTCCTGGAGCCCAGATGCCACAGGGTACACCTAGAGACCCCAAGGTGAGACACTTCCTCTTGGTGACAGATGGGAGGCTGACTGGGGCTGAGGGTCGGGAAGGTGAAATGACAAAGGAACTTTGGTCCTCCGTCATCAAGAACTTATTTCCCTGTTTAAGGACGCCTGCGCTCGTGGGGATAAAAATATTGGCACAGGTGGTGGGAAGGCAGCTCAGTAGTGGTTACATATTTGTCTGGAATGCTCAAGGTCCTGGGTTCAATCCTCAGCACCACAGGGGGGAAAAACACAAAACACAAAAAAAAAAAAAAAAAAAAAAGAAAAAAAAGAAACCACCATTAAAAAAAAAATAAAAGAAAACTCGTATAATACTTCCCTAAGCCCACTGCTTCTTTGGCAAAGAGGGAAAGAAAAAAGAAAAGAAAAAAAATCAGGATTCTTTTATTTTTTTGTTTGGTTTCAAAAACTTTCTTCAGATGATAGGATTTAGATGTTTCTTTTAAGAACATCTGAAGCAGAGAAAATAAGATGCTTCCATTTTAAATCTGGTGAATGCCAATCTAACTAATGCAGGCTGAAGGAGGAACTGTGTGTGGAATGACCCTTGACTACCTCTGCAGACCCCAGACCAGCTGCAGACAAGCAGGAAGGAAGTGGCCTGGCCAGGGGCACTGGGTAGGACCATCAAGAACATGAGTGGTGGGAAATAGGCAAATCTAGTGCGACCCCTGCTGGGCTGTCCGGGCCTGCAAGTGGGTCACAAGTGCTTCAGAGAGGGCTGGGGCTTCGAACAGACACTGGGCAGGCAGCTTGGAGAGCCATGTGTGGGAAGTCTGCCTTCTTCCTTGAGATCTGCTTATTACTGCCTCTAAGAAAACCAAACAAAGAGACTTTCACAGATCTTAGAAGAGACTTCCCAACTCAACTCAGGGGTCTGGACTCTTGAGTCATCTTGACTCAAGAGTTCCAGTGACAGTGGAGGGTCAAGTGAACAGGCAGTAGGCAGGCCTGTCGCTGCATTCAGTGCCCCAGCGGCTCTCCTCACAGACACACAGCTGAGGAGAACTACCCTTGCTGGGGTGCCCAGACCCACAGGGGCGGCTCTGCCCCTAACCCGGGCACCGGAACAAAATGACCTCATGCACTCCAGCCAGTGAAGAGTGGGCGTCTCATCTTCCTATCCCTCAGGATGCAGCTAAAGAAAATCTGGTTGCTACAGCTGCATGCACCTCTGAACACAGTTAGTGAGGACCAGCTGCTGGGTGGGGGGGTGGTTAATCACAGACAGGCATGCAATGAGGACCAGCCAGCAGGAGCAGGACACTACCTTTGATGAATGGGGTCTCCTGAATGCCAAGGCGTGTGGTACATAAATCGACTTTTAAGGGGATGGCAACAGAAAACAAAACAGAATAGTAATGACAATGATGATTTAAAAAATTAAAACAGAACACAGAAATGGAATAAAATCAGTTAGAAGTTTAAAACAAATACACGAGACTTAAACACATTATTCTTTCCCATAACGTCACAGGATTGCACCATGAGGCACCTAGGTGTAGAGGCCCTAGCAGCTGCGTTTTAATGAACCCTGTTTTGTTTTTTTGTTTGGGGTACTAGGGATTGAACCCAGGCACTACTGAGTCACACTCTAGCTCCTTTTATTATTTTTAGTTTTAGACAGGGCCTCACTAAGTTACTCAGGCTGGCCTTGAATCTGGGATGCCTTAGCCTCCTGAGTAGCTGGGATTATAGGTGGGTGCTGAGCCCCAGGTTTGAGCCAGACATCTGGGGTTTACTTTTCTTTTTTTTTTTTTTTTTT